CTCGAGGATAATTTTCGAACATATCTGTTTTACTTTTACAGTGTGATTGTGCAAGAACAAATAAACAACAATATATTAGGGGCGGTTTGAAGATTATTTTCAGACAAGCCACTTTCAAAGTTTCATAGAATTTATGAGAAACATATATGGTATAATGAACAACACATCACTCACATAGTACAAACACAAATATAAAAGTTGATACTCATACTTCACAACTATGATTACTTAAATATCTATATGATACAAACACACATATACAAAAGTTGGAGCGCAAATACAAAAAAAAAATTGGTGTTCACGCAACTATGAACTTGGTATATAAATATTTAAAATCTCAATTAATACTATGATATCATGTTCAAACCATATCTAATGTTTTTTTTTTTTGTCAAATAGTCTGGTGACTAAGAATTTTAAAGATCAAAAGGGTATTTAGTATGTACTTTATTTTCTTCCGTAAATCAATTAGTTTAACCTGCTAAATATATAATCTTTTATATTTTACTATTAATTTAGTTCCAATAACTTTACTCAAATAATTATTTATGAAAAAGAGAAAATTCAGTGATTTCATATAAAATATTCTCAAAGTCTCAAAGATCTAAAAAGAACGTACAAATTATAAAATTATGGCTCTTGTAATATAGATGTTAAGACTGATGTTTCAATATAAAACATAATGTCATGATAGATGTTATAACATCATCTGCTGACAAAAAATATTTGTTAAAATTAGAGATTGTGCAGAAATTAAATTGTAGAAAATATAAACAACACAATTAATTGTTAACCCAATTCGATGCAATGTCACATATTCTAGGGACTACTAAATTAAGAAGAAAATACACTATGATAGTATTAGTTCAAAGCCTAAACAACTTGTCTCCTAATCACTACCTTGTGCAACTTCTACCTTAAAAACCTTTTAGATATAAGTTATCCCTCTCATTTCCAATCACCTCACTGTTAACTACAATCACAAACCCGTGACTAGAAACAAAAGAATCAAATAGAATATAACACTTCAAATAGACAATATTCAACTCTTTGCTTAAAAACTCAGTAGTGAAAACAATACTTACTTTTGCTTAAAAGCTTTAAACTAAGAACAATCAGTCAACCTCAATGTATCAAAGATACATGAGTGATATACAAAGAACACACGAAAACTCTTAAAGACTCCCAAAACCCAAAGCCCTTAACTTTTGTAGTACACCTACGGTTTCTTCAATGTAAATACTTGCTATTTTAAGTTTAGTAAATCCTTATTTATAGACTCTTACAGAATGGACATGGACTTTCCAATCAAATCCAATCTTCTAAATTAAATTAGCTGCAAGATCTTTGTACAAAAATAAGAATCTTCAAAGTTTCCTAAAAAGTCTTAAAGATCCTTTTTAATGAAACTAAATCAAATCTGCATTGTTCCTAATAAAATCTTTTTGAACTGCGAAAATTAGTGAGACTTATCCAATTGAATCTCACAAAATCAAATCAAATATGTCAAGAAAAATAACAGCATCACCTGCTGTACAATTGTCAAGATATCAAGACATTCTGTCATAACAGTATCAAAATCATGTGACATCTTACTCAACATCAATTCATAATTATAGTTTAACAAAATTTATGTCAATTCTAAAACAATATATCTAACAAATTATACTATATAGCATCACATACAAGTTATACAAGTAATGCGGAATAGAATATAGACCATTCAAAATTCATATATTATTCAACATATAGTCATATATACAATAACAATGGGAATATCAGCTTTGTGCCTAACCTAAGGCTATATCTACAACTATAATCTATGATCACCAAGTCACATGGCACCATCCTCCCTCTAGCATCTTGACACAAGAGGAGAAAAATGAATTTGCCAACTACTTTTTCTAGCCTTTGCTTGGCATGTCAAACAAAACTATACATTTATATCATATAACAAAACTATGCATCATACCTTGTCAAAAAAACTATGCACCATACCGCTAGAAGTTACTGTCCAATATTATGCAGCAGACACACACTGTGGGAATATTTTGATCCCATAAATGCTACAAAATTAGACTAAGTACAAGAATATGATATCCTATAAGGAAAATTCAGTTTCATCTCTTGTTTTTCGATGCGACTGGACTTGATTTTCCCAACTGTGACAGTTTCTTGAAAAACGTGGGCTTCTTTGATGGCTTCTTTTCTTCAAAGTGTTCGTTACGATCTCGAGAGTTGTTGGGATTTGGCTCAAAGGAATCTTCGTACTCGACATCCCTCAAAAGTCGGAGTACTTCCAACGCCTTCGCCTTTGTGCTATCGTTTCCCAGATTGGAGATATTTACAATATATGGTATGATACCCTCGTGCATAACCAACTCACAATAATCCAAGTGTTGAGAGCACAAAGAGAGCACAATAGCCAGTGCCGGTTCCTTTTCCTCGTCAGTGCCGGATCCAAGTATTTCAACAACACATGACATGCATCCCTTTGTTTCAACAACAGAAACCCTACCATCTTCAGTATCAAAAAGGTTTTTCAGTAAACATATACAGTCTCTTGAGATGAACTTGTCTTCGAAAAATGGAAGTAATTTTGAGATGCACCCAAGAGACACCATGTAAGAACAAAGTGAGGTATTGGAAGAAAAATTGCACATTATTCTAATAGCATTCCGATGGTACTCTTTGTTACCAGAATCAAGGATCTTTGAAACAGCTTCCAGTGCACTGGAAGCTACAATGTTAGCTTTATCTGACCAATGGTTCGACAACACTTCCAGTATGGCAAGAGCTTCTTCAATCACTTCTGACTCTAGGAGACTTGCTAACACACTGCAAGTATCTTCACTTAAGTTTGTCACACTATTTCTGCATGAAATACACAAAGAAGTCATTCCAATAGCCAAGGCAAGAGAAACTGTAAATCAAGTATCTTCACTTAGCAAACTAAATTACCTAGCAATCTACCAAGTATCGAAATAGCGAAGCAAGAGAAACTGTACCTGCAGTACTTTGTAAATTCCAACAGTAACTGACTTCCACCTCTCAAAGCTTTTGTGTCATGCTTATCATATGCAGTTCTCAGAAATCTCACAAGGGGGTCAATGAAATTGTCGGTTGACAACGTAGAGCAAAACGCTTGGTAATTGCTTTTGAAATCTATTTTCATATCTTCAACGACTTGGCATTGCAAATCCCATTGATGCTCATGAAGTTTAGACAAGGGTGTCAGATATGTGTCATGTATCTGTGAATCAGATTTCTGGCCGCGGGACCCACCTCTAGTCTTGACCAACATTGAATTTAAGCCATGACTAGCCTTCAAAAGTGAGGAATCTGAATTATAACTGTTATCTAACGATCCAAATGACATGTTACTAATATCCATTGGCAAGTTCAAACCATTCATGGAACTTCCAAAACTCCTAATGGAAGTAACGGAAGCTTCCCACGAGCGAATGTCTTCTACTTGTCGGCTTGGGTTAGGAATGGAGACTCCATTATCTTTGCACCATTTTGATATTAACTCCTTTAAAGCAACGTTGGGAGTTAACGACATATGCGACAATTCCTTTTTCGTTTTCGGGCATATAACATTACCCTCATCAAACCATTTCTGTATCCACATCCTTTCGTATGTTACTCCTGAAGCAATGACAACGGGGTCATAAATCAACCTTAAAGATATAGGACATGTGTACTCCTCCGGGGGTGCAACTCTACTCAACTCGCTTGCAGGAGTTCCATAGTGATCATGGTTCAAATACGGCTCTGACCTCACATGATTGGAGGATAAAGAATCATGACCAGAATTCTCAGTTGTCGCTGGTTCTTCAGGACGAGAATAGACCTCCATTTGTTCTCCTATCATTGACTTCCTATGCGTTTTCAGAAGATACAAAAGATTTTTCAAGATTATCTTTTTATTTTCCTCTTTTGGTCCAAGTTTTTGTAATAACTTCCTAATAGATCTACTCTCTGCTACGATGGTTGTTGCGGATGTAATATTAAGTCTCACCGCCACAAACTGGAGAGATTTAATGTCTGAATTTTCCTTTGAATCGTTATCTGAGGTTGAAGGACCTTGCTGGAGCAATTTTCTCATAACCTTTCCAGCCTCTTCATCAACAGAATCCAGGGCAAAGGTCACACACCTAAGATCATCAATTATTCGAGAAATCTGCACGAGACAATGCAATGGAAACTAAAGCATTACAATAGAAGAACTAGTAACGAAAATAAAATAAAAATCCATATACCATTAACTCTATCTAGACATAAGCAACTATCCCCATTACGAAACTAGGTAACAAATTCTTGAAAATTATGTGGACTGTTCATAAATTTTAATAACCAAATTATGACTAACCTCTGCAGCCAACATAACAGGAACTATATCGTGAATCTGGACTAAGCTTTTCTCTAATGACTTTCTCGCCTTTTGGCATTTCAACAGTATTGACTCCCCGGTTATCGCCTGTCAGTAATAACATTATAACCAAATAAATAAGCACGCAACACGCTAGCATAGAATCATTGATAAGATTGTACTTATACAACTTTAATTGCTCAATATATTATAAACTTGTATAGAGAGCTACACACCAGGTAGAGTATACTAGAATCAGCACAATTTTGCAGAAGCTGTTTGGCTTTATCAAGTGTACTAGTGAGCAAACACAAAGCTGCTATGCCTGATGAGGACCGAGGGCGTGTATCCTCTATCTGCGGAAATATCCTTAGGACTCTAGCAACTAATCTCCTGAGTTCTATGCATAATCTACTATGTACCTTTTAACATGAATCAAAATCAATAAAACACTTAGTTCCAATCCAATATCCAAGTGATGTTAAAAAACACTTAGATATCCACAGAAACATAATTGAATTGAACTATGTTATGTATGTACCTTAAAAGAACGAGGATCTGGTAATGCCTCTACCACTTCAGAACTATCAGTTCCCATTCAAGGAAGTAGTGTCCTTTGCTACAAATGAGACATAGAACCAAAAATGAAAACAAAAGGTGCAAAATAACAAAACAAAACAGAAAAAAGACAGACATAAATAAGTTACCTAGTATAACAATAATTGATGATGAGAAGAAGAAACAAGTGATGTTAATATGGAAAATTCCAACAGAACCAAATGAAGACTTTTTCAAAACAAGGAAATCCCTCAATTTGTAGACATTTCAACGTGTGTTTGGTGAAGCTTAAGCATGAGGAACAAAACAAAACTGTTCCAATTCCAAGGGATCTTGATTGGAGTAAAGTAGGAAGTGCGTGAGTTCATTATATCTTGAGAAACCTCTCTCAGAACATTGAATTTACTAGGATAACCTCTGGAAAAGTAAAAGGAAAAATTTGAAATGATTAGTGAAATGAAAGCATGCCCTTTAGAACAAAATTAACTAGAGATGATAATATGATGAGTTTCAAGGAAAGTGGTAAGATAAAAAAAGATGAAAAAATAGGAAGGACATGATTTATTTGGAGGAAAGAATTGTTAAAAAAAAAAGACCAAGTCGATGAAAGTGGAAGGAAAGTGTGATGTTTGACCAGTGAATAGAGACAAGATAACTCCACTCAAGTGAAGAGCGAAAGATATTTGTCGTGATGATAAGGTGACGGTTTTGTGAGGGAAGGGAGTGATTAATGTTCTTAGTACACAACAAACATGAAGTGACAACGGGTGGAAATAGTACATATAGATAACTGAGATTTACGATCAAATCTATATAATTTATATATTTTTATAAATCTATTTAGTTAAAAAGGTTAGCCCGATTTATATAAATAATTATGAATAATTTTTTTATTATCATTATGTTATGTTTTGTATTTTGAATCAAAATACGTAAATAAAATTTAGTTATTTTGAAGAATTTATGAAAATAAGATGAAAACACCTTATGAAAAATGTTATAAATTATTTTCACAAGTCTTCTTAAATAAATAGTCTCACGCAACTTATACTAATTGATAAGTTAAAATAAATCAATGCAAACTAATTTTTAGTCTCATTAGTTTTTTAGTTTGTTAGTATATTTAAATATTATTTAAATATCTTATTTACATATGTCTAAAATAATAGACTTTTATGTAGGTTAACATACTAACCAGGCTTTAGAAAAAGTCAGACTCTGGCATAAAAATAAGTCTATGACAAGTTACATGTCAGACTTAGACTTCAGTTTTTTTGGCAGGTCAGGCTTAAGCTTGACAAAGCGTAGTTCGGCCCAGCATATTTCTACCCCTAGTTGCGAGGGTTCACTTTAGGAAAGAGAAATTACACAGTGTAAAAAGATGAACCAAACAAATAATTCAAAGTTAGACCACTAGAGAGAAGAGATGTGTTTGGATTGACGCTGAATAGAATTGATTCTAGTAGAATTGAGTTTGGTAGAATTGATTATAGTATAATTGAATTTAGCAGAATTGGTTTATGTTTAGATACATTTATGTAAAAGTGAGTTTAATAATAAATTTCAGTGTCAAAATTCAGAGCATTTGCTTTAATCCACCACTAAGATAGATATATTTTTTAGATATCCACTAAACCCTTATTGTTGGAACATACAATCACACAATTGATAAATTATAGAGTATGTGGAGAAAGAGGTAGTGAGAGAAAGAGAATTAGAGAGATATATAATTGGGGGATGAGAATGACAATTTTCATTAACCAACGATGAAGATGTCTCCAAGACATTTACACAAGTGTTACAAAATGATTGCGACCTAAAACACATCAATAAAATATAAGAAAAAGCCAAAACTCAAAGTTGTAACTGGTTAACTCAAATGGTTAACCGTTTATAGCTAACAACTAAAATGTACACAATAAGGTGTAACAAGTTAACAGATTTGGTTAACCGGTTAACACAACTCCAAAACTCCCTTTTTTCTTGTCTAGAAGTGATTTTTTTCCAGTTGTAACCGGTTACACCCCCGTGTTAACCAGTTACAACACTTGAATTACTGTGTTTTCTCTTAACACACCACATTAATTCAAGTTCTCCAAGTCCTTCATGTTCATGCTCATCTTAAACCTCTTGAATACATTATTTGCGACTCCCTTAGTCAACAAATCAACAACTTGGTCTTCACTTCTATAAAATTTCAATCTTAACGTGCCTCCACTAACAAGCTCCTTCTAGTAGTGAAACTTCATCTCAATGTGCTTTCTCCTCCAATGTGCAATTGGGTTCTTAGCAAGATTAATAGTTAAAACATTATCAACCAATTGTGTGATAATCTCACCCTCATTGCTTCCTAACTCTTTCAATAGATTCATTAGCCACACGACTTGACACACACATAACAAATCGGTAATATAATCGGTCTCACAAGACGAGAGTGTAATTATCAGTTTCTTCTTCGAACACCATGATATTGGTGTCCCGTTGAACATAAAGATGTATCCAGCTGTATACTTTCGACCATCTTTATCTCTGCACCAATTGGATCGGTAAAACCAAATAAATTGCATTTTTTGCCTGTATCCGTTACGGGAAAGAGAATTCTGAATCCAATAGATCCTTTGACGTATCTCAGTATTCTTTTGACTGCTTCCAAGTGAGTCACATTCGTTCTCTCCATGAATCTACTCACAATATCAAACTAAAAGTCAAATTTGGTCGCGTATTGCACAAGTAACATAATGATCTAATCAACCTTCTATATTCAGTTGGATCTATGTTCTGCTCCTATTCATTCTTGAACAATTGCAACCTTGGTTCAACTAGTGTAATGGCAGTATTACAATGCTCCATATCACACTTTTTCAATATCTCAAGGGCATATCTTCTTTGGTGCATAAGCAGTCCTCTTTTGGACTTGTGGAACTTTATGCCAAGGAAGTATGTCATAATACCAAGGTCACTCATCTCGAATTCTTTCATAAACTCACTATTGAACTTAGGAATTCTCTTCTCATTGTTATCCGTGATCAACAAATCATCTATGTATAGGTAAAGTACGATTACACATTCACTTGTATCAATCTTCACATAAACTCTATGCTCGAACACATATTTCTTGAAGTTAACATCAATTAGGAAGTCATATATCCTTTTGATCGAAGCTCTCGGAGTTTGCTTCAAACATATAACTTTTTCTCAACTTGTAGAATCTTCCCTCTTGGGGTTTCACAATAAAACCATGGGGTTGTTCTACATACACTTCTTCTTCAAGTGGACCGTTTAAAAACATGGACTTCGCATCCATTTGATAGATATACCAATTGTTGCTATTCTCAATACCAACAACCAGCCTTATGATTTTGATCCTATCAACCGGTGCAAATACATAATCCAAGTTTATACCTTGTCTTTGCAAGAATCCCTTTGCAACTAATCGAGCCTTATGCTTGATTATTTCACCTCTACCTTTGTTGTCGAACCACTTTCCTTTTTCTTTCTTATCTTTTTCCGATTAAGCTTGTAGAGTCACATCACTCTTTGACTTGCCTGCAACTCTTTCAACCATTCTTTGTTCATGAGATTCAAGCATCCCATGAAGCTCTTCTCTAGACAAAGTTGACATGTCCTTCAAATCTTTTATGGCAACTAGCACATGATCGAACTTCAGAGTCAAAGATCTCAAGATCTTCGAAACAACTGCTCTTGTTGTTAACATCTCTCCACAAGTCTTGATTTAATTCACTAGTTTCGTAACCCTAGTGAAGAAATCATATATGCTTTCGCTATCTTCCATCTGAAGCAATTCATACGTTTTTTTTGTGAGTTTGTAATCTCACATCTTTCACCTTTTCTTCACCTCCAAAAGATTTCTTAAGAATCTCCCAGACTTTTTTTGCAGATTCTACATCACTAACCTTTTCAAAATTGTCTGGGCTGACATATTGAGGAATTATAAAGAGAGTTTTATAATTCTTCTTCTTCAATTCTTTGTATTCCGCCTCTTCCTTTTCTGAAGCGTCTTCATGAAGTTGTTCTAATCCATATTTTACAAGTTCTCAAAGACCTTGAAAATAGAATATAACCTCCATCTATTTGCACAAATTCTCATATTTATCATCTTTAAGAATCAGAAGGTTTGATGTAAAATTTCCACTCGCATAATTCATCACCATTGATTTTCTTCTTCTTCCCTTGATCGCTCAACCGGAGCTCCTGATACCAAATGTTGGAAATCCACCGTATCTTATGATTAATTTCTATCAATCTTGATGAACAAGATTGTTATCACCACACAATAACGATGAAAAATATGAAAGAAAGGAAGACAATGATTTTCTGCAAATTTCTTTCTGCCCACAAACTGTGGAAAACCTCTTATTCACTTGCAACTGCAAATTCTGTGAATACAACTTGATTATAAAATAGGGGTTACTCTCTCTATTTATAGATTTAAGTTAACTTCTTCTCTAAACCAAAAACAAAAAACTATAAAAGCCAAAAATACATATTTTATAATTAAATCAAATCTATCTATTTTAGATCTAAATTAAATCTATCTATTTTAAATCTAAATCAAATAAGTGTGTAACAAACTGCTTCTACTCTTTAACACTTCCTTGTTTTCTCTGGAGCAAGTTGCTTCAACGCAAAAAATTATGCTTTCAACACTTATTAGTGTTTCGAAGTCACGAAGCAAAATCGATTTCTCTTAAAGTTGAAGTCGTTCTTGTTCCTGCTCTGAAATCCCAAGTGGAAATCGGTTTGTCTCTGTTAAAGTTGCCCTTGTCTTTATTTCGACGAATTGAAATTGATTTCTCTCAGAGCTGAAATCGTTCTTGTCCCAGTTTTGAAGTGGTTTGTTCCTATTTTAAAATCATCCGTAACTACTCGTAATTGGAATATCCTTTACTAGAGCCACCGTTGAAATATATAATGGGATGTTTTGAGTATATTTTTTAAACTGTTAGGAATAGTTATAAGTTCTAGCTTGAAAGTATTTACTGAATACTAACTAACATTGACCCATGTGGTTTGATTTTTTTACTTATGCTTACTATGCTTGTTTTACATATGCTTTTATTATTTATTGTTTCATCTTCAGTTGGAGAATAATATGTATTGTCTTCGCTGCTCTCATCCTTCTCTGTCTCCTTTACTATAGTGATAATATTATTTTCTGGCTTTTAATTTATCTTATAGAGCTATTTTTGGGCTGAGGTGGTGGCTATAAATCCTGATAGGTGTTATGCTCTTTTTATTTAT